CAAGCCCCTATATCAGGTAGTAATGTGTGCTACGGAGAACATGAAACAGGCTGGGGGGATATAGGATGAGGAGGTGCTGCTGAGACTGGATGATCAGAAGGCAGTCGGACCCAATAACAGGAAGGCACCAAGGCCTCCAGACAGAAAAGAATTTAGCATATTTGAGAAGCAAGATGGGAGAGAGTGGTTGAAGATACACCAAGATGTGGGCAGGCCTCCGCGGCAGACATGAGGGGGAGGGGGAGGCTCCGCGCAATGGGAGGCCATTGGAAAGTTCTGAGGAGAGAAATGCCAGGTTGAGGGGTTTAAGCAGAAGGACAGTGAGAAGAGTAGTTTAGCTGCTGCAGATTTTTTTTGTTTCAACAGAGTCTTTCTCTGCTGCCAGGTTAGAGAGCCAGGGTATCAGCCTAGCTCACAGCAACCTCTAACTCCTAGGCTCAAGGAATCCTCCTGCCTCAGCCTCCAGAGTAACTGGGACTACGGGCACCCACCAAAGTCAGTCGGTGTCTGACTCTTGCTCAGGCTGGTCTAGAACTCCTGAGCTCAAGGGATCCTCCTACCTTGGCCTCCCAGAGTGCTGGGATTCCAGGCAGGAGCCACCTTTAATCGAAGTGAAGAGCAAGAGAGTCAGAGGCTAGAAGCAGGAACAGACTGTGACAGGCTCAGGACACGGGGCTAAGAAGTTTGGACCTTACATTCCAGGCCTCAGAGAGCCCTTGTGGGGTTTTTGAATAGCAGCATTATGATCAAAAAGATTCTGATATCGCCAGGAGTGATATGATTAGAAGTTGACCCGAAGGTCCCACCCAATGTGCAGCATGATCTCTCCAAGTTCCCCTCTCACAAACCTGTTACAGGTTTATTTTACAACCGTTTAATACATGCAGAACACCAAATGCACACTCAAGTGTGTGGGCATCAGCACTGGTGCCTAAAAACTGGTGTGCCGAGGGCAGAGGCAATGAATTGTCAAGAAATTTGGGAGCTGACAACTCCATTTGAGTAGGAGAAGCTCTGTGGTGAAAAGGATTCTGAAGCCACTTCTGAACCAAGTGAGAAAGAAAATCTTCCTCAATTAGCCGAGTCAAGAGGATGCCAGGGATGGGCTGTTTCTGGCCTGACTCACTGTTACAGGGTGAGGGATCATCTTAAGACAAAGGGTTGACTCTAACAATGATACCAGGGCTCCATGAACTCACAGAGGAAGCCAAGGAGCAGGGTGGTCTTGTCACATCCATCCCCTGACACCAAACACTGGAAGCTGCTGCTTCCTTCACCCGTACCGAGGCCAAGACCTGGGCCTTCCTTCAGCTGAAAGAATAAGAATGTGGCTCTCATCTACAAACATCTAACGGGAAGTTTTCAGAAAAAGCAAACATGATACTTCTCTTCCTATCAAGGATTCTGTCTGTATCCTCCCCAGGTGCTACAAACCAGCAGATTCAGGGTTTAGTTCCCGCTCTGCCACTTACTGCTGAAAGGCTCTGCTTCTGGTCTCATCCCTCTGGCCTCAGCTGATTTATCTGCACAGTGGCTGCCTCCACTCAATCACCATTTCCTACTGGAACCCTGGGGGTGGGAAGGAGCAGGAAGTCCCCTCCCCCCACCTCCACTGTAACTTGGGCACAGGCTGGACCCGGCCACATGATTTCCTATGAGGAGACATTTCTGCAACTAGAATGAGAAAAAAGGTGGAGAAAGTGGGAAATCTCAGAAAGCCCACTTCTACCTGTCTTGGAGAAAAATGAAATCCATCCAGGGTACATTCCTGGGGTGGAGGCAATGTGTAAAGTGGTTTTAAGGTTGGATTGTTGTTCATGATTTTCACACTCACACCCTCAGAAAAGCAAGAAGAGGTGTGACTGTGTCCTGAGCCAGCTGCAGAGCCAGGATTGGTGGGAGGCAGAGCGCCCAAGCTAAGAGGCTGGGCCAGACAGGTGCCGGAGATTCAAAAGCCACAGAGCAAGGAAGCTCCACCTCCTGCCCCAGGTCTCTAAGTCCCCAGGCTGCCCACTTCTACACAAGGAGTGACTCCAGTTGCTTTGACCTAAAACATTTCCACTCACTTCTGTGGCTGGTACAAAGAGCATTCCCACCCAGAGCTGTGAGGCGAAACCTATCTACAGGTGCGATGCCTTGCCCGCCGCCATCGGATGAGTTGGTGTTCTTCGTGAATGGGCGGAAGGTGAGTGCTCGGTGTTCCTACCATGGCTGGAAAGACAGCAGGAAACCAGTAGCTTGAGGGGGGCTCTTGTGGGCCATTTGGGCTGAGCCCCCACCAGTCAGGGGCAAGAAGCCAGAGGCTGGGAACCCATCCTAATTCAGCCTGTCCCCCCACTCCCC